AAAGCCATCAGTGATAGGTCAAGTCCTTCTCAAGTCACATCTCTCCAAACCATTCTTCTGTCCTCCTCTTCCACCTTTAAGGACTCATGATTAGATTGGGCCCATCAAGATAAGCCAGAATAATCCCAGTTTAGGAACTTTAAACTTTATCAGATCAGCAAGTCTCTTTTGCTATATAAAGTAATGTACTGGAAATTTCTGGAGATTAAGACGTAGATATCTTCAGAAGTTGGACTGGAGGCATTATTCATTCTTTTATAGAATAATTCATTCTTTCATTAGAAATCATGAACTCCTCTGAGATGAAATCTGCATACAACATTCCTTATCAGGAATTCTAAAAGGATTTAGATCATCATTCTGCCACTTTTTTTGGGGGGGGGGTGGTTTCCTCCAGTACCGGGAACCGAACTCACGACTTTGGGCTTGCCAGGCAGGCGCTTTGCCGCTGAGCTAAATCCCCAGCCCCTTCATTCTGCCACTTAATAGCTTTTTCCATTTCAGGGCTTTGAGTCTCATTTCATTTATGAGACAAGGAAAAATGATTAGACAGCAGGATTATTGTCAGAAATAATGAAGTGAAATTCATTCTGTGTTGGGCCTTCTACTTATATCAACCTATTGTTGTACATCCACAACAACCAACTTAAATTCATACCACTGTTATCTGCATTTCCTAATTGAGGGAATGGTCACCTATGGTCCAGTGACCATTTGAGAGGTTAAGTAACATGTCTCATATTTACAGTACAGAAGGTGAAATTGGGACTTACACTTTGAGGTCTCTTCAGTCTGAGCAGCCTGGCATACAACCGATGTGCTATCGTGCCCACCTAGTAACTTGAGTGAGACACAGAAGGTAAAATGCTTAGTACACGGTGGGACATCTGACCAGCACTCTCCAATAGGGTCCGCAGGTGTCTCCTAAGTGTCCTGAAGAGCACTGAAGATGAGCACCTGCTCCACTGTTTCCTTCCGAGACTTCTCAGCTGGCAAAGAGCCGCCACACATTGAAATTCAGGAAGGGCCGCAGGGACGGGGAAATTGTGCATTATTTGCATCAAATTCCACTTGTCTAAATGGACTTGTTAAAAGCACCCTGGGTGGAAAGTGTGAGTCTTAATGGCATTTTATAAAAGTTGCTGTGATGAATTACCACATAAAGTAAATTAAAAAGAGCTTATCGCTTTTTAAATTAGGAGATGGGGCACTGTAGCATTTTTCCCAGACATGAGGAGCCATTAATAGCAAAAGGAGCCAGAAGCTGAAAAAATGTGTCAGCTGCTTGGTTTTAGGAACCTTACAAGTCTGAGTCAGTGTAATCCTAGAGGGGCAGATTATTCAAGATACACAGAGCCCATGGCAAGAGTGTGTTACTGAGTCCTCAGCAAACATATCTATTGCTAAAGATGGGAGTGGGAAACCCCCCCTCACAGACTCTTGGGAACAGAATGGAGCACAATAGAAAGAATATTTGACCTAGCAGGGACCACCAAGAACAGTCTCCTCTCCTCTCTTGCCCCTTATAAATGAGAAGGCTGAGCCTTGGGAAAGAATGGCTTGCAATAGCCATTGAAAATATCCTACAGACCTGTACTGAGGATATACTTTGGCCCTGTCATTATCCTGGGTCCTGATGACAGAGATGTGTTTTAAATGTCTTCACGCGGAGACCAGAAGTCAACTGCTATGGGACACAGTTGTGACCTGATCTCATGAGTCAAAGCCCAGTCGTTTTCAGAATAAAAATTGCAATAGTAATGATGATTAACGTTTATTGTGCACTCACTAGTACCAAGTGAGTGCTGCAGTACTCTGTATATGTTTTCTCATCTAACCCTCACAACAGCTCTTTGAATAGATGACGTTATTATGCCAATTTTACAGTTAAGAAAACTTGAGGCCCAGAGAGATTAAGTAACTTCCTAAAGATCACACAGATAAGAAGTTGTACACCCAGGCAAACTGCCCATAGAGCCTTTCATCTTTCCTGGTGGCTTCTCTATCCCCAGTCCTCACACTTTACATCCAGGCACCTAGAATGAAGCAAGCAGTTCAAATGCATTTAAGATAAGAAATATTGAGACAAGTATCAAGCAAATTCACAAACTTCACAAACTTCACAAATGTAAAGAGGTTGTCAACACTGAGGATAAAATTTAAAGTCGTTCATACTGCTAGGCCCTGAGTATGGCCAGAGGAGAACAGGCTGGGAAATGAACACTATAATCAAATAGTCATTATGTGGATTTTGGTGCCAGACAGACTTCATCTTTTATTCAGTCTCCCAATGCGTACATGGCACCTGGACAAGAACCTTCACTTCCTGCAGCCCCTTTCTCCTCTAGGAGATGGGAATACTATTTTTTACTTTTAAGGCTGTTATGATATCAAAACTGAAAAAAGATAGTGACTACAAAGTGTCAAGCTGCCCAATAAGATCAGGAGTGGTAGCCATCATGGTCAGCATCCTCACCACTTGGTTGCCACCTCTACTTTCTCCTAGGCTGAATAGGGACTAATGTCAAAAGCTCTGAACCACAAGGAGGCTCAAACTCTAGCCTTCGGTTGCTGCCCTTAAACCGTATGTCCTGGGTCTGGTCAGTGAGGCTCCCAGCTGTATAAAAAGGGGAATCAATCTATCTATCGTACCTTCTTCACAGGAATGAAATGAGTCACAAGAGTGTATGTTGGATGGCCGAGCACACAGGGTTAATGATTCTCTGCACGGTTCCACAGAACTCAATACAGTCAGGCACAGAGGTATGATTTATTACAACAAAAGAATAAAAAGTAAAGTGAGCAAAGGGAGATGATTATGGGACAAAGTCTGCAGGAAACAAGCTGTAAATTTTCAAGAGTCCTTTCTTAGTGGAAGAACATGGGCAGTGCCTAATGCCTCTAGGAGCAAACTATAACAGCAGGAGTTAAATTTCTACCAGGGAAGTTCATTAGCAACTCAATATGAGGGCTTTTCACTGGGGGCTGGTACCTTCTGCCTGGACAGTTACCAGGTAGGTACCTTCTGCCTGGAACTTACAATTGCAGATTCCCAAAATGAAAGTAGGAAAACTGATATAGTTTGTACAGTTGAGGCACATGAGCTATTCTTTCAAGAACTAACAAGATCTAAGTTTCCAGACATCAGCCAAAGGCCACTTTGCAAACAGGCCTTTTTTTGAGGATAACAGTTGGAGACATGCTATGTTGTTTGTTTGTTTTTCACAAAGTGGGGTCTATAAAATAGATTATTATCACTCAAACAGGAAAAGCATTTCATACTTACTGTTGGCACTGCATACCAGGCACTGCTGTAAATCTCTTATTTGCTGTGCTATGTAATTACAAAATGACTCTGTCCTGGAAGTACTGCTATCATCACCATCATTACTGTGTCATATGCAAGGGAAATGAACACTAATAGAGATTAAATACCTTACTCAGATAATGAGCTGCATGTAAGACGTTGCAGGGGGTAGGAAATGGCCCAACAGCATGGCCCCTGAGTCTATATTTCCAACCTCTATACTACTGTCTGCCACCCTGCACCTCCCATGGCAGGGGGCGGCGTGTGTGTTATTTTTTTCAGGCTTACAACAGCTCCATCTGAATGTAGTTGTTAGATCAATTTTGTATCAAAATTTGCAGTTCAGTAATGTTAATTAAATTATATCTTATGACATAGCCAGAGGAATGACAGAATCAGGAGTTTCTGTCTGCACCAACTCCCTTTTCTTGGTTTGGATATTGTGTGAGCCCTGGGGAGAAAAGATACAGATGGTCAAGCTGGAAATTATTCTAGAAGCTTAGACAAAGCAACACTACAAATTTCATCACTTAGGCATGGAAGAAGTATCTGTGTTACAGTTCAGCTTCTGCAGTATTTGAGGCTTAGAGGCTGCCTTCAGCTCTTCTGGTTACCATGACTGCAGATGTGACATTTCTTTGATGGAGGAAAAAAGATAAAAGAGAAATCAAAGTTGCTCCTCAGTGATTTAAAAAAATCTGTTCCCCAAATATAGCTTATTTCACATGTACGAGTGGTTATGCTCCAAGGAAGTTCATAGGATGGAAGCAAGAAAGAGGGAGGTGGTAAAATCTGCTTCTCCCGGGAAATAGCATACTGTTGTGCGATGGTGGTTCTGCAGCCTAAGTGTCACACAAACTGCCACTTACCAAGGCTCTGCAAAAACTCTTCACTGGGGGAACCGATGCGGACAGCCAGAATTCTATAGAAAGAAGAAGACTGATGAGTTGTCCGTGTGACTTGGAGCTGTTGATACACACATGTATATACGTTTTTTCACTCATTGCATTTTCAGCACTTGTTCCGGTTATTACCGCCACCCCTTCAGCTATCCAATATCAGTGATGTTCCAACATTCCCCGGTCTGAAAGAATCAGAGTCTTTTATTGGTAGATTCTTTAAGTTGTTACCATTTTTCTCCATTATAAAGGAAAGAGTTCTACAGGCCAAAACATCTGAGGGAATTTGCTTATAACAAAATGCTACTTTGAAGATAACAATATGCAATATAACGACCATTGTTAATTTCCTATCATCTTGTTTTGAAAATCTGTATCATTTTTATTGTTTTTTTTTGTTCTCTTTAAAATAAAAGTTATGTTTTTCTTCATTTTATTTATTTTTTAGTAGTTTTTAAAATTTGTAATGAGAAGAAAAAATACCCCAATTAGGTAGTAAACTGACTTTCTTATCTCCTGCCATCCCCTTTTAATACCTGATGTCCACTAAGATAAAACACAGACCCCAGTTTTAAGGACCTCTAGGCCGCCCCTGCAACCAGCAAGAAAATACAAGTGAACCTCAATCCAGGAACAAAACAGTGGGAATGTGATCCGCAATCCAGAGCACCATCCTAGACCTGATATCAAATAATGATGGATTCTCACAGCAAGAGGGAACATTCGAAACCACACCTTTTATACCTGTGCTGTCAGAGGGTTCTGACCATGGCCCCTTGTGATGTTTCTTTCAGAGCCATGTTTGACTATGACAAGAGCAAGGACAGTGGACTGCCAAGTCAAGGACTTAGTTTTAAATATGGAGACATTCTCCACGTTATCAATGCCTCCGACGACGAGTGGTGGCAAGCCAGGAGAGTCACGCTGGAGGGAGACAGCGAGGAGATGGGCGTCATCCCCAGCAAGCGGAGGTAAGAGTGCTTCTGCGTATCAGAACGTTTGCGCTTCAGCTAGCCAGGGAGTGGAAACGAGGGAAGAGGGACCTGGGGAAAACTGCTCACAAAATAGTTAAATCAGTGGGCTAGACAACGTGCGGGAACACTGTCAGTGGTGACGGGTGACGTGAATAAAAAATTCTCATTCTCCTCATATTAGAATTTTACCAAAATTGGTGACTGTGACAAGCCATAAGGAAAACAAAGATTTGTTTATACTATCTTCCTAAAACTGCCCTCAGCACCTGTGCATGCAAGGTTGTGCTATCAGCCTGTGTGCTGACTTACAAGCTTAGTAGATTTATTCTAAAGCTTCAGCATATTCCACTGAATTTTACAGAAAAGCCCAGCTGGAAATGAAATAAAGCAGGCAATTTACTAAGCTAAGGAGCTGGCTATATAATAGTCATAGATTGATGAAAATAGCTGAAAACCTCCATCCAAAATTTAGATGCTTGGGATATAAGCTGCCAAATACCTGATGGAATCCACAGGCTTGGATTTCCAGCTGTTTGTTTTGTTCTTTTACTATTTTAGTCAGTTCTATTCCCCCATCTCACAGTTCCCTGTAGTCACTCAAAATATAGCTGTGTAAATGTTTCCTAAATCCAAGGGCGCAGCACTCTTCCTCTTCAGCTCTACTTTGGGGGCAGAAATACACTTCACTCCCACATCTGTCTCTTAGCTGCTGTTCATCACCACCCAAAGAACCTTCTTCTCTCTGAATGTCCGTTTGGCACCAAAACATTGTTAAAACAGGGCTGTGTCCTAGAAAAGAGACACACAAAATCAGTAAGGAGTACTGCTTGTTCAAGTCACTCATCAACTCTTCTTGAGCTGCGGGTTTCTCAGAGAGCTCTCATCCTTTTATCCCAAAGCTCAGAATGCCTTTGTATAAACTTCTCTGTGCAGCTGAGTATTCAAGTGCTGCCACATACAAAGAGAGTCGGTGATTGAACTAATACAAACCATCGTAGGAAAAAAATACAACTTATACCCTCAGAATGACACTGTGGGACATGTATGCCCAAGAAGATTGGTCTTTATCTTTTCCTGCATGTGGCCACAAAGCCAAGGACTGTGGCAGGGAAGGCGAAGGTCGACTGTTCCACAGTTGTTCTCTTACCTTTATGGGGAGGAGTCTCAGTGCAGTGGCTGAAACTCCAGACAGCCTTTTATCCGTGTGCGTTTGCTTGTGGATCTGAGCAACAGACTATTCTCCTGGTCTCTTTAAACCTTTGCACTCCTGGATCGTGGCCTGGCGTTGCTTCGTGACAGCATGTCAACCTTGTACCGTGGCTTGTAGTGTTTTCTGAAAGGTTACATATTCAAAGCAGTGAGTCTTAGCCCTACTTTTTATATATTCTGTTTCTCTATTCCTATTCAATTCACATTTTTTTTAAAAAGTCAAGACAAATGGATTTGGGGCTGTTTTGCTTTGATTGATCACAACTGTCTGAGGAGCTCTTCTGTGCCAGGAAACATCTTGTTGAATACAGCCCCAGGATAAAACTGGGGTGAAGGAAAGAAACCTAGGCAGGAGTGGATTTCGGCTCATTTTAAAGAAATTTTTCTTCTAGTTGGGACTGTCTAGATATGGCGTGGACTACTTAGAAAGACAGAAAAGACATTCAAACTTTAGATGGGAGAGTCCAACTATATGATTTTTAGGCCCTTTGCAACCCTGAGGTTTTGTGGTTCTGATCATTTGTGTCATTCATTTGTTTAATGCACCTCATTTACATTCTGAAGAACATTTGCAGTGCTATTCCTCTGGAAATAATTTTGCACCTGCTGGTAATTATCCTTGGATTGGCTATTTCTCTCATATTTTGGATGAAACCATCTTAACAACTATACTATAGCTCACCTGGAGAAGAAGTTTGTTCATTGTCTCAATATTGATTATTCGCTTGCATTCTGTTTCTTAGTGGGTACAGTAGCCCTACCTCAGGAGAATGTTTTTTATAAAATAATATACAGTATTTATTCTTTAAATCTATGCCTTTATGTAAAATTTCTACCTATAAATGAATTTGTGTCAAATTTTCTCCTTTGGATGTTAATTATTTCAAAAAGTTACTTTTAACTTTTTATGAGTTTATAAAACTAATAACCTTTACTTCAGAAAACTGAGAAACCTGAGAAAAGTATAAGAAGTAAAAAGCCACTTATACTTCTATTCACAAAGAGTCTTTTTGTACTAATCATAATGCAATTTAAAGTCTAAATTTATTAGATGGGGTTTTTTAAGATCTCTAATTAACCTATCTCATAATTATAGTTCATTTGGTAGACTGTGCTGGAAATAGCTCATAAAGGATAATAACATCCATGTATGACCTTACCCTTTACCGAAATGTTTCTCTATTAATGATTTCATTTAATCATTCTAATGAAAGTACAGAATAAAAAATATGAATATTATCATCTTTCCCTCCTTTTTTGAAGATGGTGAATAAACTTATTTAATAAAACACTCCATAAAATGCCTGATACTGGTTTAAACCCTTTACAATTATTAACTATTTAAACCTTATTACTATCCTGTAAGATGCTGTTGTTATTCCCATTTGACAAATGAAGAAGTTGAGGTTCAAAGAAGCCAATTAATTTGCCCAAAATTGCCCATCTAAAAAGTGGCAGAACTGAGATTTGAATATAGACTACAGTATTGCTCTTAACTTATATGCAACCCTGCCTCCAAAAAGTATAAAAATAAGAGTGCACTAATTTGAATTCATCATGCAGAGTCTGTGTGCCGTGGCCATTGTAGGGTTACAGCTAAGCATCCACCTTTCTCAAGACTAGCATGTAACTGTATCACAGAACTCTGGGACTAAGAAGATGAGGGCTGTCTACAGTTACTAAGGAAAGTGAAAAGGAAACAGACCAAGGGATAAATCCCATCTAATAATAAGGCTGACTCTCTCTACATTATAGTCCTTTCTTCCCCTTCCTATAACTGAATGCCACAGACTGGAAATTTATAAAGTACAGAGGCTTACTTAGCTCATGGTTCTGGAGGCTGGGAAGTCCAAGGTTGAGGGTTCACATCTGGGTGAAGTTCTTCTTACTTGTGTAGAAACTGCAGAATCCCAAGGCTTTTCAGGGCATCATGTGGCAAAAGAAAATAGAGCAAAATTGCTTTTAGAACAGACCCATTCTCATGATGATCCATTAATCCATCAGTGACTAAATGGATTAATCCATTCAAGAAGCACAGGCCTCATAACTCAATCAACCCTTAAGGTCCTACCCTGGTCCTACTTTGTACTACCTTACAGTGGTGATTAAGTGTCAGTATTTTGGGTGAGGATGTTCAAACTGTAACACAATTTTGTACTAGATGCTTTCAAATACATCATTTTAATGTAATCTCCACAAACACCCCATAAGGAAACACAGTCAGCAAAGTCAAATAACTTGACCTAGGTCACACAGCTGGCCACTGTTTGGACCCAGGTCTCTCAGGTAAAAAGATTAGTTTTTCAGCAGGAAACACTACTGTAGGAGCACTTATCAGTTATAAGACTGAATACCAGAGAATCCAAGTAACCTGCCAAAATCACACTGCCTAAACCAGGATTGAAACACACAAATAACTTGACCTAGGTCACACAGCTGGCCACTGTTTGGACCCAGGTCTCTCAGGTAAAAAGATTAGTTTTTCAGCAGGAAACACTACTGTAGGAGCACTTATCAGTTATAAGACTGAATACCAGAGAATCCAAGTAACCTGCCAAAATCACACTGCCTAAACCAGGATTGAAAAACACCCCTTTTTTATACCACTATGAACAACTGCTGAAATTTGGGTTTCCCTCAGCCCAGTAGCTCTCAAATCTAGTGCCCCACATTTGTGTATTCCCTCGCAGGGAAAGAGAGACCTGGCAGGGAAAGGCTGCCCATGCAGTGAGTACCTGACACAGAACACCTGCATCACCTTCCTTTTCAAGGCAAGGAAACTGGGAGTAGTGGTGACAAGTGACGCCGTGGATGGTATCACCATAGACATCTTAGCAGTATTCTGTCAGGTACCGAATTCTAACTATGTGACAGATCCCTTGCTAAACATTGTTTTGCATTGTCTCATTTAACATTGACCATAATTTTTGAAGCCTGTGTTATTATTCTAATTTTAGCAGTATGAAAACTGAGATCCTAAAGGGCTGAATGACTTCAGTAGGTCACAGTCCAGTCAGTGGCAGAGGTAGAATTCAAATCTAGGTTTATGTAACTTCACAATCTGAATCCTTAGCATAGAATCTGAGTGGCTAAACCAAGATTTGTCAAGAGATCTTTAATCCATTCATGAGCTCACAGAGTTTGGTCACCTAGGCTTAGGATGGCAGCCTGTGTCTAACATTACATAAGAGTTTATAGCCCTGGCCTTCATAGCAAGCTGTGGCCACTGGCTTGAATGGCGTTTCAATCTCCCTCCCACAGAACCTGGGGAGCATAGGCAAAGGAACTGTATGTGACCAGTCATGTTCCCACTGTCCAGTGCTCCTGGTCTGGCCCAGTTATATGGTTGGCTGGAACCTGAAAATACCAGATGGGAAATGAGGGGAAAGGGAGAGGGAGACAGACAGTTGGGCTCACTAAAGCATTACCATTTGTACTACCTGGAGAGGGGAGGTGTCAAAATTAATGGCTCATATTTTGCCACCCAGTCTATGTTTTAGGTGTTTTGGTCTATGACAAGATTAGGGCAGGGAGGATTATTGCTGCTTCAACAATCTAATTGATTGCTTGAGTCTGAGTGTGAGAAGGAAAGAACAGCAGTCGTTCTCACTGCAGTGGGGTCCACATGTACAGGTGGTCCTACCATTCACTTAAGCAAAGCCCTGTGGACCTTGATATCTCTTTGTTCCAAAGAAGTCGTATTCAGTAAAACAGTTAGAGATGGCGATGAGAAACTTTTATGCAGATTCTTACCAAGAGAAAAGATTGTAACATGGTGAGCAACTTTTTATAGGAAACATGCCTTGTTTGCCAAGTCACTTAAACCCTCTTGGTCTTATTTTTCACATCTAGGTCAAGAATTTAGAATCCTCCATGAGAGTTCATTTATCTAGTCATTCAATAAAGATTCACAAAGCTTCTACTATGTGTGCAACACCATGTTAAATTCTGGACCATTGTATCAATTATAGATAAAATAGATAATGTGCTTAACACTGCTTCTAGAACTTAGTGTACCTACAAACGATGGTGATTTTTCTCTTTTTAGATTTTGGTTTCAGAGAAAGGGACTCTCTTTCCACGCCTCACCTCTCAGGTCAACAGTGAGGTTTGCATGCACCCAAGGAAGAGCTAGGAGAGGGGGAGGGGCTTGTGCACGCGAGGAAGGAAAATGGAAGCCACTGTTGTTCTACCAAGAGGTTTTCAAAGACCAAAAGGCAATTTTCATTGGCCTTTGTGGTGGAAAAGCACAACTGTGGTGGGGCTATGCCCGGGAGAGAGACCAAGTCAGTGTGCCTGATGTAATGTTGCAAATCACCCTTTAACTCACCTGACTTCAGGTTTCAAAGCAAATCTATTCTGAATTTGGAAGCTAGCTATCATACTATGGTACTCTAAGCAATTATGGTACTTTAAGTGATCATAAGCTTAAGTCTGGATGTAGTTTATATAACTGAGGATATTTGGACCGTGGTAATGCAAAAGTGTGTATGATTTTTTTAAAAATCCAGCCTAGACTGCTTAGGCTATGTATTGGCCTTAAACATAGATGACCCATCCAAAATTTGGTGTTTTTCAAGAATTTCTACTAGATGAGCCAGCCCTGGAAGATCCTGAGTACTTTACACTCCATACTGAGTGACTATAGGAAGACACTGAAGTTAGCAGAATACGTGTTCAGGTTGTATTTCTAGCTCTCTCTAGTCTAAGAAGCTTCAAATCAGCTTCCCCAGCCATGAGATGAATAGTAATACCTGCATCATTGGGTTACTGAGGGATCCAAATAAGATGATGCAAGTATGATGGAATTTTATTAACATTTTTCTGCTAAAACTTGAGCTGCCATTTATGTTATCATCAATAAAACTTTCCACTCAAATAAAAAGCAAAACTTTCCAACTTCATTCATGAGTGAACCAAAACCACATCACCTTAATAAGTCTTCCAAACATTTTTCAGTTGTTCTATTGCCTGTTTGAAGATTAATAATAAACTGTAGCAAATATAAGGTGAGATTATGTGTGTGTGTGTGTGTGTGTGTGTATCTGTGTGTGTGTGTGACAGTATTCTAGTATTCTTTGCAAACCTTTTAAGATCTTAGTGATAAACTGCTAACACTGCTCTAATAGAGACATTTCTCAAGAATGTGGAAAAGGATAAACTTAGAAACAGGGGAGAAGGGGATCAGAACACTCTGTCCAAATAATTCTTAGGTTTGAATACTGAGGTCAGCCTTGTATTATGTTTGGGGCCTATGTGAGTTCTGTGGATTTATACAGAATTTATTTGCATATTCTTGTTAAATAACTATGTGTTCTTTGGGTGCTAAAGTCATTTTGACCGTATCAAATGAACTGGATGTGATTTATGTAATTGAGGACATTTGGGCCATAGTGATGCAAAGATGTGTATGATTCTTTAAAAATCCAGCCTAGACTGCTTAGGATATGTATTGGCCTTAAAGATAGATGACTCATCCAAAATTTGGAGTATTTCAAGAATTTCTACTAGATAAGTCAGCCCTGGAAGATCCTGAGAACTTTGCATTGGTGTCATTAGCCTAATTAATGCAAAGAAGCCAGAATAAAGTTGGGACCCTAACACCAGTTTTGGAAGACTCCAAAGAGATGACTATGAATTCTATTTGGACTTGGATTACAACTGAGACAATTGGGCCATAGTGATGCTCAGAGCAGGCCTTTTCTCAGTAAGCATCTTTCCACTTGGCAGTTCATCTTATCTGAGTTCTTTCTTGCTCTCCTCCAAAAGGCTGTATGTCAGATACAAGTAGAAACTCTCCAGTGGGACATATTGCTTTAATATCTGAGGTTAGATGTGAAGAAAGTGTTTCAGCTGTTTCCACTCAAATATTCTATTCTCATACTGAAATAAATATATTCTGAAACTGCACTCTGTAACTATAGAAACCCTGATCTTCACTGTGTCTCAGTTAGAAACACAAAAGAGCTCTCGGAAAGGAGTATGCTGTTAATTATTGATCTATGAATAGCTGAGACTTCATAAACCATTAAGTTTCTGTAGATTCAGGGTTTTCTCTCTCTCTAGAAAGAGAAACTTGAGATCAAAGCTGGCCATATTTAAACAAAAAGTCGTGTTAAAACAACACATCATATATTGTTTTTGTTCAACAATTATTTATTGAGGACTTGCTATGATTCATATTGAGTGATATGTGGGCTTGGCCTCAAGGGAGAAAACCTGTAAAAGCAATGAAAATTTAAAACAAAACACAAGGAAATCAAGAAATAATATTGGCGTAAAGATAAAATTAAGTTCTATTATGGCTTAGAGGAAGGATCATAACCAACTGGCAAAACCAGAAAACTCAAGGATATTTTTTTTTCTTTTCTTCTTTTTCAACCCTGGCCTTCAAACAGGCACAGGTCCTACCGATTTTATTTTGAGGCCTTCCCATCTCCTCTACCTCATTATCATATCTCATTACTTCTTGCCCAGATTATGTCAACAGTTTCTAACTAGGCCTCCTGTTCATTCCCTTGTCTAGTCTGTCTTGTACTTGCACCAAGCTCATTTATTTAAATGTTAATTTGATTCTATTGTTTCCTTGCTTTCTCCTCTGATAACTAATGAGGATTCTCCAAGGCAAAACCCAACTCCTGGAAGTAGATTAGTATCCTTTATGTCCCCTTGATCACCTCCTCTCTGCATCTGCAGTCTTTCAGCATGTTCACCTTTTCAGACCATGGCACGTCCATCCCACCTTGGAATTCCTTCTGAACATTTCCTGCTGACAAGCCTTTTCACATCCTGCAACTCTGATCAATGACACCTCTTCCAACCATCCCACTGCAATGCTTTCCACCCCTCTCACTCTGCCAGTGAGATAAGTACACCCATGTGGCTATCAGAGTTCTTACTGTGGAGGGTTATCAGTCTTTGTGTATTTCTCTGTTCTTGCCAAGAGCACATTGCTACGAGTTCACTGCAATCATACTTTTTAAAATTTCTTTTCTTTGTTCCTTTGCATCTCACCTGATATATAATAGGCATTCAAAAGAAGTTGATGAATCGATGGAGTGGCAGGTAAAATAATGAATCTGCAGAGACGACAGAAAGACATTAGATTTCTTGAACGAAAATTCAAGATTATATATAACATGTTTAGTTATCAAGCAAAGCTAACTATACCAATGTTCTCAAGGGGAAGATAAAAAAAGAAGGGAGGAGAAAAGAGGAGAGGAAAAGCTTATTTGATCTCCATTTTGAGTATTCATCTCTCAGACCGACTTATTGAAATAGATTTTGATTTAAGCATTTAAATAGCAAATATTTTTTCTTTCTCTTTGTTCCTTCAAATATTGTGACTCTCAGTGTATATAACACAAAATTTCAAAGAATGTATTAGAAGCTTAGAGTGTAAAGACTTCATAGTGAACAAAAAAAGGGAGTATTTCAGAACATATTTTCTTTGAGTTGTAAGACTAAGAGGAAAAGGTATTCTTCAGTGAATAAAGAATTTCATCAGAAGTACCTTGTCACGTGATAGACTCTTTCTTTTCAAATTTCTCTAGGGTGGAAAGGAAGGAACGTGCCCGATTGAAGACAGTAAAGTTTAATGCAAAACCTGGAGTGATTGATTCAAAAGGGGTAAGTACAACCTGATGGAAACATTACATTCTCTGAGCTGCCATGGATTAAGTGATGGTTAACAGTTAGGCTTTCAGGAGAAAATTCTGGAGTAAAGCATTGTTATAAATGTATTGTGGAAAGTACTGTGTTATTTGTGATCAAATGGTTTAGATTTATTGTAAATATATTAAGTACTAGGGTAAAGCTAGTGGTCAGGATAAATGATATGTTGATGAAGTGAGATATTGACTACAATGAAAAAGAGAATATACAGTTCAGGTGTTTTCTTTATTCTTTCTTTTAAATTGACATTCTAAAAGGTTGAATTTCATAAAATGTATCTGTCATCAGGAAATATATTTAGTTTGTTATACAATATAAAGTTAAGATAGTGGTCATGGAAATATACATATGTATCATTTAAGTGAATATGTGGATTGTTGTGACAGACATAAAAAAAGAAACTTAAAAAATCACCAAAATTGGGGCTGGGGATTTAGCTCAGCGGCAAAGTGCCTGCCTGGCAAGCGCAAGGTCGTGAGTTCGGTTCCTGGTACCAGAGAAAAAACAAAAAACAAAAAATCACCAAAATTGAAATATCCATTCATGTACGTCTTTTTCCTAATAGTAATTCTAATGAGATATAATTAACAAGGCATAAAATTCATCCACTTAGAGTTGTGCAACCATCACCAAAGTCAGTTTAAATTTATTTCATTATTCCAAAAAGAAATTCTGTGTCAATTAGCAGTCACATTCCATTTTTCCCAACCTTCCACTCTTACCCAGCCATGAACAACAACCATTAATCTACTTTCTGTCTTTAGAAGTGTCCCTATAGATATTTCATATGAATAGAATTATATAATGCATGATTTTTGTGGCTACTTATTCTATTTGACATAATATTTTCAAGTTGATTTGTTTTACCCTATATAAATATTTCATTTCTTTTTATTGATATATGATATTTCATTGTATGGATATGCCACATTTAATATAACCATTCATCAGTTGATGGACATTTGGGTTGTTTCTGATCTGTCTTGGTTACTTTTTTGTTGTTGTTGAGACAAAATATCTGACACCCAAAATTAAGGAAGGAAAGGTTCATTCTGCTCACAGTCTGTGGAGGTTTTAATCTATATTTGGCTGGCTCCAAGGCAGAGTGGCACATGACAGAGGGTAACAGTTTATGGCAGTGGAACAGCAAAGCAACAAGAGCAAAAGGGAAAAGGGGCAGAGAAGAGCAAGCCTCTTTTTTCCCTTATATTGTAAGCAGGCTACAACCACCCAGGGGGCATATAGCCCTCAGATAGTCTCTATGCCTGCTCTTGCACAGGCTCAGGATGAATACAAAGTGAGCACCCTGGATCCCTGCTGAATCACATAGTTAACCTTCTAAACTTCTCATAATGAACATTGACATAATGAACAACATTGACATAATGAACAACATCCCAGCAGGGAAAGGGCATGTCCTTTTCACCCCAGAATGTAGAACTGCTGAGTCACTTAGGCAAATCGCTAGCCTTCCTAAGTTGTCACAATGTATCAACTATAACACCATCTTTAGCCATTATGGATAATCCTGCTATGAGCATTTTTATTTAAGTTTTTATGTAGACATGTTTTTATTTTCACTCAGTATATAACCTGACTGAAATTGCTGGTCCCCTCAGGAATGTGATAGCTCTACACTTAACAGTTTGAGGAACGGTCATGCTGTTTTCTAATGTAGTTGCACCATCTCACATTTCCATTAATAGTGTTTGAGGGTTCCAATTTCTCTACATCCTCAACAACTCTTGTTATTAAATACTGTTATCTTTTTATTACAAACATCTTGGTTGCTATGAAGTGGCATCTCACTGTGGTTCTGATTTGCATTTCTCTAGTGACTGTTGATGGTAAGGATCTTTTTGTTCATTATTGGCCGTTTGTATATCTTCTTTGAGAATTTCTATTAAAATTCTTTGTCTACTTTTTAATTTGGGGCATTGTTGTTGTTGTTGTTGTTGCAGCAGAGTTTTAGAAGTTCTGCATATACTCTGATTGTTAATTTCTTATCACAAAAATGCTTTCCAAATAGTTTCTCCCATTCTGAGTTGTCTTTTGAAAAAACTTTTTAATTTTGATGAAGTTCAATTTGTCTTTCTTTTTCTTTTTGTTAATGTTTTTGATGTTGTAAGAAACCCTTACCTAATATAAGGTCATAATGATTTATGTTGTATTTTCTTCTGAAAGTGTTATAGTTCTAGCACTTACATTTAGGAGTTTGACCCATTGGAATTAGTTTTTGTACATGGAGAGAGCTCAGGTTCCAGTTTTATTTGTTTGTATGTGAATTATTTTCTTAATTTCACTTTTAACTTGTTCATTGCAAATACATAAAAAGTAATTATTGTGGACATATGTTTTCATTTGTATATTTATCATATCTTACAACCTTTATTGACCTATTTATTCTAATAGTTTTTTTGTAGATTCCTCAGGATTTCTTATAAATAAGAATATAACGTATGCAAAAAGAAACTTTTACTTCCTACTTCCAATATGGGTGACTTTTTCTTTTTTGCCTAATTGCCATGGGTAGAACCTCCAGTATAATGTTGAGTAGCAGTGGCAGGAGCAACCATCTTTGTCCTCTGACCTTTAGAGGAAAGGTGTAACTTTCTGCTATTAAATATGATGTTAGCTATAACTTTCATAGATTTTTAAATCTATTTCTAAAGGGCCAATGTTATCTAGTATCATATAGAAAATAACAGAATGTCTTCCTGTTGTATCAAAAAATAACTCTGCCTTCTCTTTTGCTATTGTCCTCTTCATTTGCTTCCCTTTGTCTTTCTAAGCTAGCAATTGTAGCTTGTATTACATGAAACCACAAGGAATATTCAATAGATGTTACCTAGAAAAACAAGAAGGAAAGATAACATTTTCTCAGAGTGATACCATTTTTCAAGAAGGAAAGATAACATTTTTAAGACTCACACATAATGCTATCCTTTGTATCTTAGGTAGCAATTTTACTAAGTGATGCAATAATTTACATAATAATTTGCTTTCAAAAAATTTAGATGAAATAGAAATTCATTTAAACCTATGAATTATTCTTGAAAAACATGAGAGCTTGTGACATTTAAATACTACTTTCAAACACTACTTAATTAGTAGAGGCTAGTATTTTTTGGCAATTTCTGCTAAGAAGGTAAGGATAGATCTATTTGCTTCATGTGTATACTTGATATGTATCAAAAAATTTATCTTAAATACCTACCATTTGTCATATAGTACATAGTTAGGACTTGTACAGGACACAAAATGTAACCTAGGCTTTTCTAAAGAGTTGTAATATTGGGGGCTGGGGATTTAGCTCAGTGGCACAGCACCTGCCTGGCAAGTACGAGGTCGTGAGTTCGATTCCCAGTACCAGAAAAATAAATAAATAAATAAATAAATAAAGAGTTGTAATATCAGTGAGAGGCCAGATACCTTTTTGGTAAAACCAAAACATGGATGGTATTTTTAATTGTGTATGATAAATACCACTAGGTATGTAGCAATTAATAGCAATGTAAATTCTAGGACTTGAACTGCTGTTGAAGGAGAGGAGTAGCCATCTGAGAAGTGAAGTTTGGGACTATAATTTAGGAGGATCAATAACTAGATTCTGGTTTTAGTTCATTACTAAGTCACCATTGTTCTTTGGGTCTCATAAACAAAAAACAGTTTTGAATTACATCAGGGATGTCAAAATAAGTTTTAGCTTCTCTGTAGAGTGAGGGATTGGTAGTTTTTCCTATTATTTTTAGTATTATATCAAAAAGGTTTTTGAGACCATACACAACCTCAGCAGAAAAAAAAAAATCATTAATTAGTCATCTCTAGCACAACACATTGGGACTTGTTCCCTATTTGCAGTTCCTTGATTCATTAAAATAAGTGGCTTCCTTGAGTAATACTCCATGTGATGTATTCATGCATTAACTGGTAGTAAGACCAGTTTCCGAAGTGCCCATAAGAATCAAGTATCAAGTATCAGGAAATTCTTATTCAATAACAGAAAGCAAAAGACAGTTAAGAAGAGAGAAAGATGCATTGAAGAAAGGAGACCATCTCCAGCTATGGAAAGAGTTGAGAAAGCTGTGTCAGGAGATGCCACTCACTCTGAACGAAGGATAAGAACTACTGAAATACATCATTGTGGAAGAAGCCTCCAGTCCCTGGGACTTTGGGTGTAAATTCAGCATAAATTGCAGAGGAAAGTGATTTACAAAGAGAAAGTGAATGAAGTGTTTTAAATTACCTTATCATTAGCTGTGAAGTGTCCTGAGGAGCTCAGAGTGAAATTCATGCTTATTGCCCTGGATGAACCATAGGATCAGTATCTGTGGAGCAGACTGTGGCATACCACTTCCTAGTTGTATGTATAATAGCTATGAGAATCCAGATTAACGGGCATGGGGATGACCAAAGAGCATTTCACAGGAGAACTTAGCCTTTAACTGGATGATTGGTGTTTGAGTTACTTTCCAGGCCTGTCTGTTAATTAAAATAGCATTGAGTACTGCAAAACACTAGGCACTGTACTGGATGTCCTGTGGCCAGCATACAAATTAAAAATACGGTCTCTCCAATAAGTGAACTCACAAAGAAAAATGAAGCCAAACAGTAACTATATAGCATCACAGATGAACCCCATCAACTTAGGGAATTAACATTTTTCACTTTTCGTATCAGGAAATTGAGCCTTAGGGACATTAACTAACTTGCCTAAGATCACACAATTAGTAGGTACAAAAGTCAGGTTTGAATTCAGATCATCCTGGCAGCAGATGTCTGCAATGTCTATTACTTCATACCGTACTAATGATATCTCATGATTAAAAGAGAAATCTTCAAGAGGAGGTGATATTTGAGCAGTATCTTGAAGTATGAGTATAAGTTTTTATATGCATAGAAAAAAGCATCAGCATAGAAATTCTAGATAGGTTGGAATAGGGACAAATGAGTCA